ATGTAGGTTAGGTGGACCCCCCACCCAGTAATAGTGACTATAAGGGATAATGGTGATTATATTAGGGTCCTCCTATTTTCCTAGTATACCACTATTACAGGGTGGGGGGTCCTCCTAATATATAGGGATTGTAGGGTATATATTGGGGTTATATTGGGATAATGGAAAAGCAAATGGAAACTACTATTTAGAGTTTAGGGTCTAGGGCTTCATCCACAAAACTCTGCCACAGGATCCGGCAGTTCGCTCCATCATCGTCCAAGCTTGTGGAGACGCCTGAGGAGGATTTCTAGTCCAACTTCTGGCGCTAACTCTACGGGTAGCCACGCCGAATTCTCTTTAAACCCTAAACCCTACATACTACGGTAGATTCCATTTTCTTTTCCATTGCCCTTTAAACTCCTGCATATCCCTATGTACGCCACAAACTTACTGCTTGCCAGTAATCGAGGAATGAATCAAAACAGCAGGCGCTATTTACCCCCTGTGCTACTTTCCATTTCATCTTGTAATCCTGCACTCATTCCAAACAACCAGTGAGATAATGCCATAAACCTTCATGTGAGCTATAGTCTGAACTCCCAGCCTCCCCCTTAATAACCCCTATCATAGTCCCCTAGATAATCCCCTATATAACCCCACTTGAAGGAGTTTAGACCACAGTACATATGAACACAGTTGCCATGTCATGTTGCAATCTCGTTTCCATTGGAATCTCCATGTTTCAGGCGTATTAGGGCTCCCTACTAGCAACCTGAACCCTAAACCCTGAATCCCTAAACCTTGACTCCCTCAACTTACCCTGAATCCCTAAACCCCAAATCCCTAAACCCTAAACCCTTAAACAATAATTTCCCAATTCTTCTCAATTCCAACTAGTTTGTGCAAAGCTTGGCGCGAGACTGGCAGCAATGCTGCGAATGCGGAAGCAATGCCATGCAGCACCTTCCCGGGCAATACCCTAGGGTTAGGGTTTAGGATTTAGGGTTTAGGGTTTAGGAAACCCTACATCTTAAACCCTAGACCCTAAACCCTAGACCGTAAACCCAAAACCTGAGACCCTAATCTTGGACCCTTGGAGATTCAGGGGGGGCATAGTAAGCAGGCTAAGGTTAAAGGGTTGAGTACTAGGGGTTTCGTGTTTGGGATATGCAGTTTAGGGTTAAAGGTTTAGTGCGTAGGGTCTAGGGTCAGGAGGAAGTAGTAAGCATGTTAATGATAGGGATAACTCGGGTTACCATACCGCTTATAGAGGTTTTGAATATACATACTAAGACTACCCCAAGTAAGCCTGCTTGAACATGCCCCAGAAGTCGCCAAAGAAAAGCAACTCCACCAACAGGAGTTCCCCTGATATACCCTAATACATTAAGATGCGTACACTTTTTCTGGTGACTGCCAAGAAGTGGTCCCTAATACCCTGAAACCCAATCCCGGAACAGTAGATCTTCCCATATCCTCCTCACATAACCCTTCATATGCCCCCTTCACCCTAAACCCTAAACCCTATACCCTAAAGGGACTCCCGGAATTTTGGAAATCTCCAATCAAGCAGCAACAGGGGCCTGCCGGAGCTCGACTGCCATCTGGCCTATGCAAACACCGGTGACGGCCCCGAGCCTTCCAGAAACACAGGGTTTAGGGTTTAGGGTTTAGGGAGACAAGGTTTAGGGTTTAGGGCAAAAGGGTTTAGGGTTTTGGGAAATGGCGTTTAGGGTTTGGAAAAAGGAAGAGGCCCTAGAATTCGGATAAGTAGAATTATCGCCGCCTAGAGTTCTGAGTAGGTAGGAACTAGGTGGGTACCGCAAAATCAGGCTCATATAAGTAGAAGGTTGAATGACGCCGTGTAGGCCTGCAGTTTAAGGGTACCTACCAGATAAACACCCGCCCGGAGCCATCCTGAAATGCATAATGGAACGCATGGGGACTGGTTATGGGGTTGCTGTTAGGGAACTTAAATTGAGTCACCAAAATGCGGGTGCATATTAAATGATAGGGTTTGCTTGTTATACTCTAACTTGCTTTAAGTTCCTTGACAGCAAACCAGATTACAACCCTCCCACGAACAGACCCCTAGAGTAGTCGCTATATGATCGCCGATAATCCCGTATATTCCATCCCTTCGTTCCTAATCCCCTCCCCCTAATATTAAACCCCCGACCCCTCCTAATATTAAACACTCCCGTTATGTGGTATATTATGATAATTGGGACTGTTCAATATTGGGGGGATGGGGGGTTTAATATTAGGGGGATTGCTAAGCACCAATTACCAAGGGTAAGTTTCATTAAAACGAGGCGTTAGTTTCTCAAAGCATCCGCCAAGATCATCTCGGAGGGACGCCTTCAGTCCTCTCATGAAACCGCATAATATGCACTATAGTCAAACTCCCTTAAAAGGGGGCTATGTAAGGGATGATATAGGGAACTACTGTAAGGGTTATTAATAGGGATACTACTACCGCTGGAGTTAATACACATCACTCGGTGGGAATACACATCATTTACTGCGGACGCTGGCACCGGGAAGATTTCACATCAGCGGGATATTTACACGTCAGAAAATGGTAATCCCCGCGTAGACGTGATTCTGGGCAACCCGACATAGGGGCACATTTTCTCGTTCTGCTGTACGGACGCTATGGGTAGAGAACAAACTCACAAGATTCAAGGCTTAAATTTGGTATGATTCCCCATGTAGACGTTGGTTTTACACATACCCCAACATGGGATGATGAGATCCTGTCATTTCCCGATTAATGTCATCAGTTCAGATGGAGACCCCTATACATCCAAACGTTTTATGCATAATTTCCGAGATGAGTCGTATCTTCTTCTATAAAGATCCCCAGTACATCCTAACATCCCAAATGCAGTTCCCGTCCGTGGTAAATTTCTCATTTCTTTTTGGAACGCCCCTAGACACTCTACTGGTTTATTGCAACTTCCGTCAAAAATCCAACCACTGGGGTTTAGCTGAAACATGCTGAAACCTTGTGGACGCTGTAGAAATACCACAATTGCACGAATAGCTTTTGTATGACATCTATTCTAGTAAATGCTTTTGAACTGGGTCCCCCAGTGTGGACGCTGCGCGACACATACAGCGACATACAACGATGTTATGCAGACAAATGATGAAGCACAACAAAAAGAATGAAAAGGACACACTCCATACCCCAATCCAATGACAAAATTTCAAATATTCGTACGTGATTGATTGAAGGACAGAGTCGTGTCTGGAAATGACCGTGGGTCACGGTCAGAGATGATATTGACAGCATGTATGAATTCTCCCAATCATCAAAGTGGGAGGTAACAAAGTGACAAGCAAATGCCGTAAACAAACGACCACCACATAACGAAAACATCCAACCAGATAGGAGCCACGAACCCGAATGCAGACACGTGACACGTACATGCAATGATAATGACACCCCACGAGCAAAACCACTTAAGAGACTTAGGTCCTGGGCCATCCCTTTCTCCTTTTTCGCCTCCTCTCTCTTGTTTCTCTTCTCTTCTCTCTCCTGTCCTGTCGCTTCTCTCCTCTCTCCTCTCCCATCTCCTCTCCTCTCCTCTCTCCTCTCTCTCCTCTCCTCTCTCTCCTCTCCTCTCTCTTCTCTCCTCTCTCCTCGCCTCTCTCTCTTCCCTGCTCTTTTCGCTCTCCCCTCCTCTCTCACCTTTCTCTCACCTTTCTCTCTTCTCTCCTCTCTCTCCTCTCCTTCCTCTCCTCTCTCCTCTCTCTTCTCTCCTCTCTCCTCTCCTCTTCTCTCTCCTCTCTCCTGTCTCCTCTCTCTCCTCTCTCTTCTCTCCTCGCCTCTGTTTTCTCTCTCCTCTCATCTCTCTTTTCTACTCCCCCCTCTCCAAGAGGCAAGTCCAAAAGCGACGACAATTCTGCGTTTCGCGACCACGACCCCCCGATCCCTGTGACTGTTGACACTTTTGAGACGCGAAGGCACGTCCGAAAGTCACGACAATTCTGCGTTTCGCGACCACGACCGCCCCGATCCCTGTGACTGTTGACACTTTTGAGGCGCGAAGACCCAATGCAAGTCCAAAAGCGAGGACAGTTCTGCCTTTCGCGACCATGACCACCCCGATCCCTGTGACTGTTCACACTTTTGAGACGCGAAGACGCAGGACGAGTCCAAAAGCGACGACAGTTCTGCGTTTCGCGACGATTTTCGGCGAGGACGCTTGCGGACACACGGCGGACACACGGCGGACATGCGGCGGACATATGGCGGACACACGGCGGATGCTTGCAAACGCTCCGCACAGATTTCGCGTCAACTCCGAACCCCCAGACCCCCAACCTCAAAACGAGAACTCTTCTGGCGCGCATTCGGGGAAAAAGCCGTTGTCTCTGTAGACGTTGGCATCGCGGCGGCTTGCGACCCTTTCCAATACTAGCCCCAAGGCCCATCTTGGAGTCTTGGGGTAGGGCTGAGAAACATGTGGACTCCATGAGGGGTGATTGGGCACAGGCGAGCCCAATGATGCTGATGACGCTGGCCTCCTTGGCCAGCATCATCAGCATCATTGAGGCCTCTGGGCTGTCCGCGCCTGCCGGGCTGGGGTTGATGAAGGGCCCAAACGAGGAAATCCCTCGTTTGGGACCCAAAGGGGCCGCAAAACCCGGTCCGAGCAGTATGCCTCGAAGCAGTTTAACGGTTTGTCCTATATTGTCATTAACCACTACCATGCTGACCAACCCTACTTCTACTGTAAGGTAGCTCTTGTCCTGTTACTTGCTGCCCCTGTTATGCTATCGCAGGTTGTTGCTGTTGGCTACGAAGGCGGCAGGGCCGGCCTGTGCCGCTAGGCCTAAAAGCATGAATCTTTCCTTTTTATAGATTTATAAGCCTTTCCCTTCATTTCTTGTCGAACAGGGAGTACATAATCCCGGTATAATCCCTGTCGACCCTATTCCCTTATTCCCTACTAATCCCCAGTAAGATAATTTACCCAAGTATATGGCTGACCGTTGCCTTGGGACTGCGTAGTCTTCCTGCAGCCGTTTCCTCTGGTTTGCTTAACAGCCACGCAGTTTAGGGTTTAGGGTATAATCCAATTTCAATCCATAGGATGCACTGTCGCTTTCGATCCAACAGTATGCCACAAGTTTTTCTGCATTGAGTATTGAAGCCAAATGTGCGCGTGTTGTCTGCAAACAGGATTTCGGAGAAGTAGATGTCATCTGTCGGCTGGATTTGTCTTGCTACGCACAATTTCCCATTAGATGTCTCCAAAAAAAATTCATATAACTAACAGAAACATGCTAACAAAGGACACCCTTGTCTTATTCCAGAGATTTGAAATCTTCATGATGACTCCTTATCGCCAGAGACTATTTTGTATTTGGGATTAGCGTAGAAGTCCTTGATCAACCTGTCAATTTTACACGGGACTTACAAGCGACGTAATACTTCAAGCATCTTCCTTTGCGATGTTTTGTTAAGTTTGCTTTCTCCGAAGAGTACTGGCAGCTGGATTTCTCCGAAATGTTCTGCAGTCTGCGAGCCGTAGCTACTGTAGGTGATGTACTTCTGTGCTTCCGGAAGCCAAATGTTGTGCCTATGATACCAGGCAAAAGCAGAAGGCCAGAAGCAAAACAAAAAAAATCCCTGGCCAGGCTGATCATGTGCTGGTGAAGAGCCAGTCAGTGACCGTGATTCCGCTCGGGACATAGTTTTACCTCAGATGCTCCAGTTTCTCACTGGGGGTTAGGAGGGAATGAAAGAAAATGTCATATAGGGATATGGATTATATTCCTTATTCCCTACTAACCACCCGTGAGGTAAATCAATGATTCCCCATCCCTCTGTTCTTGAAGACTCGTGCCAAGTTGCCACCACCAACATGGCCGGAACCAGTGCATCGCTCCAACTGCTGGCTTGGAAGTATACTTCCCGTAATACCCCAGTATGATTCACAGCGCCACTCTCATTTTATATGTTCCTTCCCATTTGGGAACCTGGGACCATAATGTTATATGCGGCCATGCTGCGTGAACAGCGTAAGCCCAGCATCAGCATGCAATGGAAAAAAGAGGTGAAAACATTTGAAGTAGCAAACCCGCAAGTCATGCTTGTGATGCAACAGCCCTTTCATAACCTTTTTGGGGAGACCATCACCAAATCACCAGGAAGCGAGAGAAAGGAAAGCATGAGGCATTGCTGTGCAGTGTGCAAGCACAGGGCAATCATTTTGCAGTAGGCGTGGGCACCCTGTCCAGGTAGATTTCTGCTGTAAAGACTCCTGCAACCAATGCTGGAAGTGCAAATGCCATGTACACAAGCACTGCCACAAAGCAAATCCTGCCGTTGTCTCGAATCTGGCATTGGGGTTTGCCATTAGCATGGAATGGGCCTCCAACCCCGGTCCACGTGAGCCAGCTGGTGCAACATGCAAGTCACAAAGCACTTTGGAACTGCAAGAGAGGGACTTGTGAGCTGTCTCTCTCGCTAAGCTTAAATTCCTTTCAAAGCTTGCCGCTGCTTTGTCGGACAATCAAGTGGTGAAACGTGAAACGTTCTTTGGCTCCTCAAGATGCACTTCTGGCCTCATTGGTGTCGCGAAAGCATCTGGTAGAACTCATCAAAGGTGATCTGGCAGATTGTGGAAAGTTTGCTTCTAAACCTCACATTTGACAGTGGCACATGGGCAAAGAGTGGGCAGCTTTTGCAGGCATGCCTCACTGCTGCCATTCTTGTCACAGAAACTGACCTGCACCAAGTGCTGTCTAGCAGATCCTGTCTTCTTAGGTGGACCCCTCACCCTGTAATAGTGATTATAAGGGATAACAGGGATTATATTAGGGTGCTCTTCTATTCCTATTATACCACTATTAAAGGGTGGGGGGATCCTCCTAACTCATCCCAACATAAGCCCCAATACGCGAGAATAAGGACCCCCCAAAAAGGACACCTATTTTGCAAAACTCCCCATGTGAGCTATAGTCTAAA